ATCTGGCACTACGCCATCAGCAGCAGATACTTTAGGCTGCATAAGTGGCCAGGTGGGGCCTCCATGGGCCAAACTATTTTCCAGGATATCCCACAGACGTGTGTTTGGACAGAAGCACAGAATCTGGAGGCAACACCTCAAACCATTCTTGGGCAGGGCGCATCATCCTGCTGAAAGAGGTCAATGCCATCAGGGAATACAGCTTCCATGAAGGGGTTTACTTGGTCAGCAACCATGTTTAGGTAGGTGGCACATGTCAAAGTAACATCCATGTGAATGGCAGGACCCAAGGTTTCCCAGCAGAACATGCCCAAAGCATCACACGGTATTCGCCAGCTTGCTTTCTTTACATAGTGCATACCGGTGCCTTTGTCAAAGCCGTTTATAACCTTACACTTGCTCATTTGTTTTCTGCTTTCAACACCGCAACTTGAGGAACAAAATGTTCACTTGCTGTTTAATATATCCCACTAAAACGAGATAATCAATGTTATTCACTTCACCTCTCAGTGGTCATACTGTTATGGCTGATCGGTGTATTAGCACAAAGACAAAAGAGGGGTGCGTGCCCCCGCCCCCATCACTGTATACAAATTTAACATAAGCATTGTACTTTTGACCATATAAACATTATCCAAGGATGTTGTGACTGTCTGAACAGCACAGCAATATTACAAAATCATTTTGCAGCCTGAGTTGGAAATAGATTATCCCCATCAGCTGAACAAGCAAGCAATGAATGAAGCCCAAGAGTTACTACAAATAATTGAGCTCCATTAAACGACATCCCTAAACAATGCTATTTTGCATGAAGAGCCCACTGCTGCATTACCATACCTGAATGACATGCATGAGAAACTACACTGCATTGTACATTTTCATTCAAAGAACACTACATAATGGGTTCCAATCTCAAAAGAGCTGCCTCATGTACTGGCTACTATATTGTATAAAGGTTCTCCTAAACTCTCACATGGTAGACTAGTACAATTTAACATTAAGACTACATGACACATGCACTGGTACTATAGATCACCAAGAAGTGCCTGAAACTCACTGGATGGAAGATGATCAGTTTTAGGCATAAATGTAAATGTATTTAAAATTAAATTATGAATACATTAACAAAAGATGTATATACTAAAAATCAGATCCCAATGTTATGTACAGTGGGGGAAATAATTATTTGATCCCCTGCAGATTTTTGTAAGTTTGCCCACTGACAAAGAAATGAAAGGTCTATCATAGGTGTATTTTAAATGATAGAGACAGACTATCAACCAAAAATCCAATGACAACTCATTATGTATATACAAGACACCTGTCCACAGAATCTCTTTCTTCCATTCAAACCTCACCACCATGGGCAAGACCAAAGAGCTGTCAAAGGATGTTAGGGACAAGATTGTAGACCTGCACAAAGCTGGAATGGGCTACTAGACTATCAGCAAGAAGCTTGGGGAGAAGGAAACAACTGTTTGATGGTTATTTTGTATTCCTTCCATTTGCAAATAATCGCTCCATCGCCCTTGGTCTGGAGCTCCATGCAAGATTTTGTCTCATGGGGTAAGGATGATCATGAGAAAAGTGAGGGATCAGCCCAGAACTACACGGGAGGAGCTTGTGAATGATCTCAAGGCAGTTGGGGCCACAGTCACCAAACAAACCATTGGTAACACAATACACCGCCATGGATTGAGATCCTGCAGCGCCTGCAAGGTCCCCCTCCTCAAGAAGGCACATGTACAAGCCCATGTGAAGTTTGCTAATGAACATATAAAATGATTCAGAAAAGGATTGGGAGAAAGTGCTGCGGTCAGATGGGATCAAAATTGAGCTCTTTGGCATTAACTCTACTCACCACAATTGGAGGAAGAAAAATGCTGATTATGACCCTAAAAACACCATCCCTACAGTCAAGCATGGAGGTGGAAATATTATGAGTTGGGGCTTTCTCTGCTAAAAGTACATGCTGACTTTGCCGCATTTAGGGGCCATGTATTGTAAAATCTTGGATGAGAACCTCCTTCCCTGAGCCAGAACACTGAAGATGGGTCATGGATGGGTCTTTCAGCATGACAATTACCCAAAACATACCACCAAGGCAACAAAGCAGTGGCTCAAGAAGAAGCACATTAAAGGTTATGAAGTGGCCTAGCCAGTCCCCAGACCTTAATCCTTTAGAAAATGTATGGAGGGAACAAAATCATAATGTTTCCACCTCCATGCTTGACTGTAGGGATGGTGTTCTTAGGGTCATAGTCAGCATTTTTCTTCCTCCAACTTCATGTTGCCAAGCGACATCCAAGAAACCTTAAGGATTTAGAGAAGATCTATAAAGGAGTGGACCAAAATCCCTTCCGAGATGTGTGCAAACCTGGTACCCAAATACAAGAAACGTCCTACCTCTGTGCTTGCCAACAAGGGTTTATCCAACAAGTACTAAGTCATGTTTTGCTTGGGGATCAAATACTTATTTTACTCACTGAACTGCACCTCAATTTATAACATTTATATCATGCGTTTTTTCTGGATTTGTGGTTGATATTCTGTATCATTTAAAGTACACCAATGATAAAAAATTATAGACCTTTCATTTCTTTGTCAGTGGGCAAATTTACAAAATCTGCAGGGGATCAAATCATTATTTTCCCCACTGTATGTATATACACTGCCAAAACATATTGCAGCATGCACGAGACCCGAGTTGCGGTAGTCAAATAAGATTACCATAACTTTGCAATATAAGACTTGAGGTAAAGTATTAACACTTTGTATAGACACATGCTATCCAGGGACGAAAAGAAATGTGAATGACAGATTCAAATGGCAAAACAATGGTGGTAGTAAGCTGAGGGATGCTTAGCAAACCAACGGTACACAAAAAAGGTACAGCTTCCAAACCAGACCTGAACATACTAGAGGTAAGGCAAGTATGTAAGCATACAAGTCACATGCAGACACAATGTGACAGCCAATGCATAATAACATGAAGAGCAAAAAAGGATTACTTCAAATAACGCTTTAGATGTAAAGTAAATCATAATTCCTCAGCCTACAAGAGACAGACCCATGCTGAAACTACAGACATACAGTATCATAAGAGACAGATTTTAATTGCTGTGCAGGTACATTGCAAGGGTATTTGCATGTAGCCTTACATAGCCATAGTGGTACTACACTACACCTACGCCAATTTTAAAAATCACATTTTGTAGAGCCAGGTGGTGTAGACAAAGCCACCACAGCTTAAATTATCGTCAGATCAGCAGTAATTAGTCAAAATTCAAGCTGTGTATGTCAAGCCTTAAAGGAAAATCCACTATCAAGTCAAAAGGTGGATAGATATGAAAAGGGTGAAGAAAAGCACCACAGTGGAAAAACATACATTGCTCCATGTCTGTCTTAGGGTAACCCACATGCATAGCACCCTTAGGTCCTATTCATACTTCTCAGTTTTGACAAGATCATCTTGGCATCACCACACATTTCTTTAGTCTGGGTTCACACCTAGGCGTATCGAATATGCGCGTTTGTCGCGTGTTTCGTGGCGCGCGTTTTTACCGCGATTTGCGGTAAAAAAAAAACGTTTCCGAGGGCTACTTGGCTGTATCACAATGGAAACGCGCAACAAAAACGCCCCAAAGAAGCTCCTGTACTTCTTTGGGCGTAGGGCGTTTTGTAGCGCGTTCATACGGCCTGTAATACGCACAGGTGTGAACCATACGCATAGGAAATAATGGGATTTCGGTGTTTGAGCGTTTTGCAGAATGTTTGAACGCGCTACAAAACGCCCAGGTGTGAACTGGGCCTTAGAATTAGCAGGGGCCTGAGACTTTACCCACCACCAGCAGAGCAACCAACCAGTACTGACCTGCAACAGACAATAAAAGGAGTGGGCTCACACTCCTGTAAAGAAAGGACTAGGTAGCATTCATGGACGAGTCCCACTATCAAGGAGGTAAAGTGTGGATGGAGGACTGCAGACTAAGATCCTGCACCGAGCCTCCATCCACCAGATTCCATGCTTTTCCTCTGGACAAAGGAAACAAAAAAACTGACCCGTTTGGCAGGACTTATTTTAAAGTGTTTTTGGTGATGTGTTCCCTGTTCCTGTTGGAGGAAGTACCCATCTAATGTGCTGTCCTGGAAGACTATTCGGGGGAAGAGACCTTTTTTTTTTTTTTTAAACCACCTTGGCTACCTGTCAACTGGAATTTGTCCCCGTTTAACTTATATTGCGGGGGGATGAGAGTACTGCCAGCCGAAATGCACTAGCACCCCAGTAGTAACAAATCTAAACAAAGTCCAAGCCTGTGCTGAGAAAAATGGAGGTTGCCAATGCAATCTTCCTTCAAAAAAAAATGATAGATGTTTACCTACCTCAGGCTTCAGTATTTTCTAAATCACTGGCCCACAGGAAGCACGCTGTAAGTAAATTCAGAACTGCATACTTGTTCTAGGTCAGTGACTCATAGTACTGAATTCATTTTAACAGCATGACAGCTAGGCAAATAGCATCATCTGAAAATGAAGATGTCAGTAATGGCAGATTAAATGTTCTCAGTACAGATTTCCTGTCATTGATCATATACAGCTAAGTAGTCCTCTTTGCTAAATCACACCTGTTAACCCCTCCCCCCTCCCTTTTTTTTTTACACCCCCCACCTGTTTAAGCTCCCAAGGTGCCCACTCTTCTGTCTACTCCTTGGGTTTCAGCAGCACCCTCTCTGGGCCATCCATGCAGAATTCCACACACACTGGATGACATGAAGGTGGTTGCAAGAGGATGTCATTCAACTCCTAATGATAATACATTTCTACAAAACTGATTGAAAAAGGTAAATGGAGAGGATTTTATAATTTCAATACAGTTAGTGTTTCCTTGATGAGACAAGTTGTTCAATTACTGGCTTCTTGCCCAAAGTTACTCTTTACCGCATTAATCATAGTTTGATCCAATGTGTTGTAACAATATGTACATAAAATATTTTTCCTACAACAGATTCAAAGGCGCTTTGATGAATATCTGTTTCCTCATCTACCTGGATGTGAACAGTTCAATTTCTTACATCCTTTTGTTTTGTCAATACAATGACATTAGTTCAGATTAACACCAAAGTTTTCTGAAATTGTCATTTATATTCATAGTTGGATCTCTCTTAGGAAGTCCTCATCTTCGTACTCTGATATTGTTGGCATTGCGTCTGGGATAACACGTGGCTTATGAAGACTTTGTCCTCTCTCAATATCACGGTGTGTCAACTTTCCTCCTTTCAGCATAGTGTACAGAAAATAATGGAAGTCCCTTCCATAAGTGTCACATGACACAGACCAGCCATATTTAGGCTGTGCATAGTGTCGGGTACGGAAATGAGGAGGGGAGAATGTGATTGAAATGAAGCATCCGCTGGGGGCGAGGACCCGACTAACCTGACAGAGAAAACAGAACATGTTAGGTGAACAACCCTACAAACAGACATGAAAATTATGAAACAAACCACATCAAAATGTAATATCCAGACAAACTATGTTAATGCAAAGCAAGCCGAATCATAACAAACACATCCAACATAACACAATACAGGTGTCAAAACAGTATGGTACTCCGTGAGGAAGGAAAAGCATTTGTGTCTGCGCAACTAAAAAGATGCCTCCAGGCAGCAGTTTCCATGGCAACCTAAGCAGACAACACTGCCTTTGTCACCATGGAAACTCACACAGCCACAGATTTTCTGAGTACTAAGAGCCCCACCCTCGCTTAGTGAAAAGGTCACAGGTCATTACCACAAGTTGAGAATATAACACTGAGTGCTGTAAGATTTGAAACTTTCCTTCTGAAAATGGTCTATAGAAACTTTACAATGACAAACAAAATTCTATACCTGCATATTCATAGCTGCTAGGCAGGCTCAGTGGCCATCATTACTCCTCCACTGTGAATTTGTCAGCCATGCAAATGGTGAATGCACACAGAACAGCAACAAGTCACAAGTCCTAATGAAAGCACAAACAGAACTTCACAGATCAACTTGGCTCACTTAAAGGGAGCCAGTTACATTGACAACTGGAGAAAGACCCAAAAGTTGGGCACCAGCAGTTATCGTGAAGTATCAATGGCTACCTGGCTGCTGGGATTTGTCCAGCCGTGTATATATTATTTAGATCCATCAGGACTGGACGAATCCAAACCAGGAACAAGGTAGCCAAGTTTTCTTAAAATTTACAGGGAGCCCTTAGTTTTTGAGGTTTTCTCTAGTTGTTGCCAAGATTTACTTTTAGGAGCCAGATCCATTGGAAACAACTACAGAAAACCTCAAGAGTTAGGTTCCGGCTCTGAATTGTATGGAGCAATGGCTACCTGGCTCCTGGGATTTATCAGGCCTGAGTCCACATTCACACCTGAGCATCATGGTTTCACTTGTTTGGCACGTGTTCCTATTGATTTCAATGGGTCCCTGGATGCACGCCAAATACGGGAAAGTATTGCGTGTTGCAAATTGTGCAACGTGTTACACATTTTTGTGTGAGTTTAACACGCGTTCACGAAACGCCCATGTGTGAAAGGGGACTTTTGTGCTCGTTTGACACAAGTTCACGGGACACCCATGTGTGTACAGGGACTGACAGAGATTTTATATGTATAACAATATATTTGTACATATACATAGACAAACTACAACATTTTGGAGGCTGGTGTTAGGAAGGCGGTATCATTTCTGTAAATTCCAAATTGTTCTGGTGAAACCAAACTAAAAAAAGAAAAAAGCTCTACTCAGAAATTAGCAGGATCTCGAAGACTCACGTTCAGGACTCCGGGGATCAATTAATGGTTAATTATTTTGCTTCTGCTACTGCTTTATGGGAGAGAACTTGGCATTTCAATGCTGCAAAAAACGTGCTGAGAACTAAGAGGAGAGAACAGATAACCTATGGCTGTCTTCTGCACATTGGCTACCTTTAATACATGTATTTAAAAGGTAGCCAGTTTGCAGAAGACCGCCATAGCTGATTGAAAATTGATTGGAGTGAATATAAAATAATAAAAAATAAATAATAAAAAAAATGTAAAAAGTCAGTAACGAACAACATGGAGATGTTGCTCGTTGGTTTTTTGCTAAAGCTAATAAAAGATTACAGCAAGTCTGTAGCTATACTTACCCATTTACTGTGCATTAGGCTGCATGCAGAGTAATGTAAAGATTTTAGAATCAAGGGTTTCACAACATATTGGCTAACAAAACAAATATGAGCATGAAAACTGAGGGATAATCTTTAGAATATATTTTCTGGCAAGGTTTAAAAAGTCCTGCATTGTCAAACAAACAGCACCACCTAGTGCACAAACCAAGAAATAATGACAGTTTAATCCAGTTATGAGCTTGTTAAAAAAAAAAAAAAAGCATTTTAAATATAGCTGGTAGAAAAGCTTGTATCTTTCATTACATTATTGGGAGCGAGAGAGAGAGGGCGAGAGAGAGAGGGCGAGAGAGAGGGAGGGGAGAGAGAGAGAGAGAGAGAGAGAGGGAGGGGGAGAGAGATCAGTATGATGGCTCTGTACTGCTCTATTGAACATGACACAATGCTGTTAGCCCAACACTGGGAGCTTGCTAACTGGAGGAGAGAACAGTGATGGCAGCAAGGTAATGCTTCTTATTTCATAAATTTTTTAATCAGAACATGAAACAAATTTACAATTCTGCATATAGCAAATGCAACAAATAATTTAACAGTTATACATTATACAAAAATAAAATATGGTAAAACCTTAAAGTGACACTAAATTCAGGAGTTAAATCTAAAAAATATTCAAGTACCTTAACTATTAATAAAAATTCCACTTATTTGTGTATCACTCGGATGTAGATCCTCAAATCATCTCTGAATTCATGCCGACACTGTCCTTCCTTCTGGAGGGCGACTACTTTTGTTCCCCATGGCCCCCGTGCGTGTTGTAAAGTAGCCACCACTCCAAACTCTCTCCTGTGATGGGCTACAATCTCAATACAAATTTAGTAAACTAAACGTGAGATTGTAGTCCATCACAGGAGCGAGTTTGGAGTGGTGGCTACTTTACAACACACACAGGGACCAAGGGGAACAAAAGTAGCCCCCCTCCAGAAGGAAGGACAGTGTCAGCATGAATTCAGAGATGATTTGAGGATCTACAGCCGAGTGATACACAAATAAGATACATTTGTATTAAGCATTTGAATGTATTTTTGAAATGTAACTCCTGAGTTGTGTCACTTTAACAGTTTAAAACTGTATAATAAGCTTTGCATACTGAACTGACTGGGTTACACAAATACAACAATTTATTAAATCCAACAGTTCACGTGAATCATTCTCTCACTTTAATTCAAATATCAACTGCAACTGGTTGATGTAAGGTTTCCTAGGGGGAAAAAGTGATTATCCCTGACTGATGGAAAAAGTTATCACACACAGTGAATTTGCATCTTGTTGGACTGTGTGTAATGGATGCCTATCCTCTCATTTTCTATGGTGAATAGAGAATTAGGGTTAAAAGTCCATGTTCTGCCCTTACCTCCCAGATATGTAACAAAGAGGAGGAATATGATGATGAGCAGATGTCTTGCTATCCCTCATACTAGGTGGAAACTCATGCACGTTCAACCAGAAGTCAGTTTTGGTCAGTACAATCCTTAAATAAATAAAAAAAAGCACATGAACTCACCTCATTCAGCACTTCATCTACTAAGCTAACAGTTGCTGGGGTAATGTTCCAAGGGTCCTTCTCATCCACCATCATTGAATCCAAAGTTCCTTTCTCAATAACCAGGTCAAAGCTTCCATCAGGAAACTGAAGCTTTCGAGCATCCATTACCATCCAGCTCATTTCAGGAATGCCAGCATTTCTCTCTGTCATTTCTTTTATACAAATTGGAGAGTAATCAATGCTGATGATGGGGCTCACACCTTCCTTATACAGATAAGAGCTCAGTGAACTGGTGCCACATCCTATGGAAAAGAAATTAAACACTTAATACACATGGAACAAGACAAAAACCACACAGATGACCCAATATGTTTCGCTTTAATAGTCCTCCTGGAAAAAAGGTCAGGCAATGTGCTGGTAAGGCTGATCATCCATGCAGCATGAATCCCTAGTTTGTACCACCACATTTACAAAGTTATTTTGGTACTCTAGCATGGGCCATTGGATGGACAAATTGATTCTGAATTGTACAGGGCGAACATGCACCTTAATTTACACATTCAAAAATGATTCAAAATACACACCGATCAGCTATAACATTATGACCACTGAGATGTGAAGTGAATAACATTGATTATCTTGTTACAATGGCCCCTGGAAGTGGGGGGGGGTATATTACGCAGCAAGTAAACATTTTGTCCCTGAAGTTGATGTGTTGGAAGCAGAAAAAAATGGGCTAGTGTATAGATTTGAGCGACTTTGACAAGGGCCAAATTGTGATGGCTAGAAGACTGCAGCCCTTATGTGATTTTCCCAGTCAGCACCTACCAAAACTGGTCCAAGGAAGGAAAACTGGTAAACCGGCAACAGGGTCACAGTGGACCAAGGCTCACTGATGCACTTAGGGAGCAAAGGCTGACCCATAAAGTCAGATCTGTACTGGAGCTCAAAATACTGAAAAATCTAATGCTGGTTCTGATAGAAAGATGTCTGAACAAAGTGCAGAAGCAGCGTTTCAGAACCTTAAATGGTTCCTTCATCAGGCAAAAAACACTGTTTATTTGACTGATGAAGGGACCATTTTAAGTTCCGAAACATTGCTTCTACACGTGACACATGTGTGTCTGACATCAAAGAGTTTTGATTCATTGGACTTTTGTGTGGGGATGACCATTTTTTTCTATGTTTGGATTTGTGCGGCGCTATTCACATGTCTTTCCAGCACCCTACTGCATTATTGTGGGATTCCGGTCTGGAGTGCAATTGGACATTTGCAATTATGAACACAAAGTGCATCACAATTTGTTGCGTAGGGAGCTGTGTAGCTGCAGACTGGTCAGGATGCCCATACTGACCCATGTCCACAACCAAATTAGCCTACGATGGGCACTTGAGCATCAGAACTGGACCACGGAGCAATGGAAGAAGGTGGCCTGGTCTCATGAATTACATTTTCATTATGTGGATGCCCGGATGTGTGTGCCGCTTACCTGGGGAAGAGACGGCACCAGGGAACAAGGCAAGCCAGCAGAGGCAGTGTGGTTCTTTGGCAATGTTCTGCTGGGAAACCTTGGGTCCTGCCATTCATGTGGGTGTTACTTTGACACGTGCCACATACCTGAACATTGTTGCGGAGCGAATACACCTCTTCACGTAAAACAGCCCAACAAATGCGCGTTTCCTGCCTGTATATCAATGAATACGCATGGCAAATACGCCCCAAAGAAGCTCCTGTACTTCTTTGGGCGTAGGGCGTTTTGTAGCGCGTTCATACGGTCTGTAAAACGCCCAGGTGTGAACCATACCCATAGGAAATAATGGCATTTCGGTGTTTGAGCGTTTTGCAGAGCGTAGGAACGCGCTACAAAACGCCCAGGTGTGAACCGGGCCTTAGTGCCAGATACCACAGAATATCTTCAGAAGTCTAATTGAGTCAATGCCTTGATGGGTCAGGGCTATTTTGGAGGCAAAAGGAGGACCTACTCCATATTAGGCGGATGGTCGTAATGTTATGTCTCATCGGTGTATGTGTCAAATAATTGGAAGTCTGGATTTTCTAAAGGCAGCTGGATGGTCAGGAATAATTCAACTCCCCCGAGGCTCTCACGGCTGGCTCATAAACATTCACACTCTGGCTGAGCATACATTAATATGATCATGGAATGAAGGAGTAGCCAGGTCCTCCCAGCACTAAAGAGTCTCCCTTTGGGTAGTTAAGCCACCAATTACATTACAGAAGCAACAGGGGTCATGAAATGGGACAGGCTCACATTTTGACTCAAAAGTTGGGGGTCAGCAAACAAGTTCAGCTGCCTACATCCGTAGAGTAACTAACCCCTTTGACAAGAAATGTTCTCCCAAGATTCCCCATCTATAAAGCAGACCCACAAAGCACTGGTCATATGCGCTTCATCAGAAAATTAAGAACAAGTCAAACATTACCAATCACTAGGGAAGCTGTTGATTATCTTAACACATTTCTTTCTATGACTTTTTATTAGAACTGGTACTGATTAAAATTTTCGTGTTCAATTAATCGAAAACATTTTTTATCAATTATAACGCACATACAGATTCAACTACATCGTCCTATGCACATACAGCACAGCAATGAAGTAATAAAATGAACTAGGATCACACTGATCCAGCACGTTATTAATCTCACGTGCCCCACTCAATATGGCAACTCAGAATAATAACGTGCTGGATTAGTGTGATCCTAGTTCATTTTATTACTTCATTGCTGTGCTGTATGTGTATAGGCCAATGCCTTGGCTAGCGCTCGTGCAGAAAGTTTCTTGGGCAAACTCACCGGCCCAAGTGGCTCCGTCGGCTAACGAAGGGAAGGAGGGGGGAAGGAGTCCGGTGACATCACGGACATCGACGTCACTGGACTCCTCCCCCTTCCCTTCGTTAGCCGACAGAGCCACTTGGGGAAGGAGTCCGGTGACGTTGATGTCCGTGAGGTCATCGCATCTCCGACGGGACTCCCGGAAGCCGGCAGAGAGGTGAGTGTTTTCATTATTGATCAAAATAATTTTAATCAATCAAAAAGTTTAACGATTAATCGAGAAATTAATCGTTAATTTCCGCAGCCCTACTTTTTATTGGAACAAAATCTATCGCAGGAGGAAAACAGTTTATATAGAATATCAGGGGTGTGTAAATTAAAAAATAAAGTGAGAGCCCCAATCTACTTGTCAGGATACAAAAAATTGCATAGATCTAGATCAGGGGTGGGCAAGCTCTGGCTCTCCAGCTGTGGTGAAACTACTAATCCCATAATGCATCTGCCTCTGGGGGTCATGCCTGTGGCTGAGAATCTAAGCAATGCCTCATGGGATTTGTAGTTTAATCACAGCTGGAGGGACAGAGTTTGCCCACTCCTTATATAAGGGCTGGTTCTCACTATAAGCACAATATATGTGTTTAGTGCATTCCATTACACACACTAGGGTGCACCGCTATTCATTCTGAATTGCACCCCAACACAGCTCCCAGTGGCACTCATTCCAAATGGCAACCCAGCAGTGCATTATGAACCAGCCCTAAACGGACCCTTAGATTCTCTCTCACTTCCTCTTGCAGGTGGATACCATTGAAGGATCTTCCCGTCCCATTACCCTCCCTCTGCCCGTAGTCGTACAAATCATGGGTACCCAGCACCAGTCCTCGCAATCCGGGCCGCAGCTGTCTCCTCACTAGGGGAGCGAAGTCCGGGTACAGGCCGAACCACTCATGTCCTCCGGCAGCAGGCAGCTCCCTCTCCCGCTCATAGCGAGAATCCCAATACCCCGACTCCTTGTACATGCCGCCGGTGACACGTGCAGCTTCCACTTACTGTACAGAGGCGTCACGTGTGGGCGGGGCCAGTGTACTCACTCTCCGGAGATGTCATCGGTGGGCGGGGTCAGTGTTCACACTGGAGTGGCTGAAGACAACTCTACTTTCTATATACGTCCCACGTGTAACATCGGAGCGCACAGCACACGTCATCGTACAATGAGCTCTTAGCGGTGTATCGCCCGTTTCACGCTGCCGCTTCTATCCCCGGACTTCTCCTATCCCCTGAGCACAGCTTCCTGTTTCCGGCCAGGCCGGTGTCTGTGTGACGACGGTGCGTGCAGATGTCTCCGGCTGTTGGTGTCCGAAAGAGAGGGGGCCCCCCTGGGGGGACAAGCGGGGGCCGCTTCAGCCTAATGGAGACGGTGCGCCGGGGACGGGTCAACTATATGCAGGTCCTGATCGACCCCCGGTACACGGCGCTGCTGGGAGTGTGCCTGTGCCTGCTGGAGCTGGGGGTCACACACTGGGTCATCCAGAGGGTCCCCTGTGAGTGTCATTCGTTGTCTATACATTGCCTGTGAGCGATGTGGTCAATACTAACCTGTGTTCTCTCCCTGCAGACACAGAGATAGACTGGAAGGCTTACATGGATGAGGTGGAAGGTGTGCTGAATGGGACCTACGATTATACCAAACTCCAGGGGGAGACCGGACCCCTGGTGTGAGTATGACAGCCACGGTGGGATTATGCATGGTCTTCCATTGATGGGGATCTGAGGCTGAACTTTGATGACCCCCCCCCATCAGGTCAATCCAGCTGATTGACTATACTTCCAGGAGATCCATCATCCAGGGGTTCTAGGCAGCTCCAACCTGCCCTATTCACACATAGGTGATTCATATGCAATACTAGCAATACAGGAGCAGAGTCATGTGGTTTTGGCACCATGTTACGTGAGAGCACCTGAAAACCGCACACAAGCACATTGTTGGGTGTACCCATTAGGTCTGTGGACCCAAAACTACAATTCTGCCTGGAAAACCTTTTTCAAGTGACCAGTGTCAATCTACAAGAGACACAATGCTCGGATGTGAAAGGGCACTAGTGAAAACAGCAGGATTCTTCTTGTTGGGTGGGAAATGCGCAAGAACACAGCTGTGAAAGGGCTAAAATGTAGTTGGAAGGGTGGTCACTATGTGATCACTATCAGCTCAGCCAATGTTCTATGGTTCATGAGCTTGTCAGATCAGGTCTGGCAAATACATGTCAGTGCAGAAATGGGAGGAAGTAAATGGTGCAGGCAGACCTCTTCTCCTTTTTTTTCTTTGTCAAGGGGAACAATAGCGATCGGCAGAGGTTTTCTAACCTATTTGATATTCCCCTTCCGATAGTAGACGGCCATAGACATGAGCAAGCAGTCAGATATTTGCTTTCATTCGGGCACGTTCACACCATTTTCCAGACCAGATATGTTCCAGAAAAAGTTGTAAACCTGTCTGCAGTTCCAGTGCATTCCAGACCAGACAAAATAAGACCAGCAGTATTTTTCTGGTCTGCTTTGGAACGGACTGCGCTGGTGTGAACAGAAGCCAGCAATAGCATAGGAACACATTAGGATGCATGTTGGGACCAGAAACAATCTGGTCTGGAGATGATCTGGATGTGGTGTAAATGGGCCCTTACGGGCCAGTGCTATATAAAGGTAGCTATATGAAAAGGCAATTTGTATTTACACTCATTGCTGACAACTGTATGTATTTACTTGTGCAGATATGTGACATGTCAGGGTGTAGATTCTCCACATTTGATGGGTGAATGCGCCCATGTGCAAGGAACAAGTCAAACTGATCAAAGAATGTAGACAATCAGACCTGGAAGGATCGTCCTATTGGTGAATTATCATTTTCACAGAGGGTGTTGTGAACGTACCGGCCCCAATCACCAGAGAGAATAGTTCTGCACTTGAGTCAATGTTAGAGGCCACCACAAACTGGTAAAATGAAAGTTCTTCTATGTACTAAGCTGCATGGGTGACTTTAGTCTTTTATTCTATTGATCTAAGTTTGCCTATGAGGCGTCAATCTTTGCTACATGGAGGGATTGCGAAAACTGAACAGAAATCGCCAACTACTAAGTTGACGATAAGGAATTGTAGTCTCAAAGAGCATCACTTTGTAGTTGCATATAGATCAGATTTACCCTCACAGTAGTAAAGTATTTGAACTTCCAGTTCTTCAGAGAGTACCAAGGGTGGAATTTATAAAAGAAGAGCCCGAGGGTCATCAAAAGCTGTGCTGTGGAAGACTTCTTGCCAGCACCTCTTTGGTTGGTACACTTTGCAGATCTGCTTTACTATTGCAGTAACGTAAGGTGTGACTGGGGAATTGGGGCTAGAACTGGCGGAGCGGAGACATGGTCCCTGGGCCACTTGTTAATAAAATATAAGAGGACTGGAATGAGACATTGGGCATCATGTGAGGACTTGAAACTGGCTGCAACGATTTCTTATGTAAAGTTAAAGATGTGTTTCTGTATTGGAATAGGTATCCGGCTGGATTCGTATACATTTTCAGTGCTTTATATTACATAACTGAGCAAGGGAGCAACATCAGACTGGCACAGTATATCTTTGCAGTGCTGTACATACTCACACTGTTCCTTGTGTTCCGTATCTACATTCTCACCAAGAAGGTGAGATGGATGACACTAGTTGTGTTCAGTTTTTAGGAGAGATCATGATTTCTAACCAATACTTGTGTTACTAGGTGCCACCCTATGTGTTTTTCTTCATGTGCTGCGCTTCATATCGTGTCCACTCCATCTTCCTCCTTCGGCTCTTCAATGACCCTGTGGCAATGGTCATCTTATTCCTGTCCATCAACCTGATATTACAAGACCGCTGGAGCTGGGGCTGCTTTTTCTACAGGTAGGCAACTGCTAGCTGGCCAACAAAGAGTATGAACTGTCTTTTTGTTTGAATTGTTAAAAATGAAAACTCCTGTAAAACATGCAATGACATGTTTTATAGAGACGAATTTCTGTGGCAGAAGGGGGAACAATGTGTTTGTTGATATGGTAGATTATAGGGTTGAGACAGTCACAGTGCAAACCATTTCAGTTAGGAAGTGATCTAAATAATTCCTAGAAGGAGTAGGCAGTTCTAGCTTTTTGGACAAGTCTGTTCTAGTTACGCTATCAAACATTTGTTGTTTATAAAGCTGGGTACACATGGAGATATTTTCATCATTCAGCCTGCAGGCTGAACACAAAAAAGAAAAAAATGAAGGATCACTCCTTAGCCTGGATTAACAAATCTTCCACTGTGTACATTGTATTGTAGCTGATTGGCTGAACACACTGATCAGCTGACACTAGAAGAAAACACTTTTTTCACAAGTTTTGATTATTATTATGTTTTTAAATGTTTTATAATAATTATAGTATAAAAAATATATTTATATAATTTTTATTTTCCTAATTTTGTTTTACACTTTTCTTTTAAATACTTTTTGTTTGTTTTTTTGTCAGTTTATATCAAGCAGTCACTATGACTGCTTGATAATAACCAAAATTTAAAAAAGTTAATTTATTAGGCTGCTCCAAACTTAGGAACAGCTAATAATAACCTTACACTTGGTTCACACCTGAACGTTTTGTAGCGCGTTCAACGCTCGATGAATGCTCTACAAAACGCTCAAACATCTCAATCCCATTGTATTCAATGGGTCTGGTTCACACCTTGCCGTATTTCCGCCCGTCCGCACGCGATACAAAACGGCCTACGCCCAAAGAAGTACATGTACTTCTTTGGGGCGTTTTGGTCTCGCGTTTCCATTGGGATACAGCCAAGTAGCCCACGGAAACGCGCTTTTGTCGCACCGGTAAAAACGTGCGACGTGAACCGCGCGACAAACGCGCATATTCAATACGCCTAGGTGTGAACCCAGCCTTAGAGACTGATCCTGACAGCATGCCATATTCAGATCTCACTAAAGGTCTTTGATGGTGCCTAGACGATCAGAAGTGATACATTTCAGGCAAAGAGCTACAATGTAATATCTGTGCCTGAAATGTATCGTAGACATGGGGCCAGTCTATGAGCTGTCAAAACTAATAGCAGAGAGTTGACTCACTCTACTACCTCTCTGCTATTTTCAGCTGTCAAATACCGGATCGCTATTTAGCGCTCCTGTATTTGCATGTAATGGCTTCATTCTTTCATTAATGAAAGAAAGAAGCTTTTACAAAAGCTTAACTATTTAATTAAAGGAGAACTATGGGGTCAGTGTTTTTCCCCATAGTTCTCAGGGTAACGGGAGGACACAAACTAGCGTCCTCCCCTTACCCTAAGCTCAGTATACCGCGAGCTACAGCTCGTGGTATACTGAGACGCCGGAGCGGATCCCGACTTAGATGACGGGATCCGCCCAGCTGCGTGAGTGACAGCTGGCTCTGCCTATCTAGGGGCAGAGCCAGCTGTACCCGAGAGGGTCGTTTGGTGGAGAGGTATTCCGGGGGCGGGGCCGAAGGTAGTTAGAAAATTTAAACGGCCGGTATCTGATCTAGGCATCGGGGCATTTTCAGGAGTACAAGTACTCCTGAAAATACCCTGTATAGGCCCCGATACCGGTACTAACATCGGTATCGGGACGTCCCTAGTAACAGCTGAGAATCAGCGGTTACCGGCATTACAGAGCCTTAAATAACTCGTCACGTACAGTGTACGAGGCCAGTCGTATAGGCACTTCGGAACGTACAGTGTACGTCTCCCGTCACGAAGGGGTTAATTGCACAATAAAGACATTTGTTGATTCCGATTTTTGTGCATGGCTTGCAATTATTGGGCGGTAATGTTCTGGTAGGTGATGTATTAGGCAGTCAGAGGTCAAGGACATTTTAAAGCTTGTAATATCTCCGTGAGTGGTGCCATACCCACTGCCTATGGTAAAGAGTGAACAATCAGATGTGCACAGGGGTGTGGAAATTTTAAAAAACTACTTGTCCAAGGACTAAAGCGGGGGCCGGATCTACTTGTCCCTCATGACCATCTGCTTGTCCCTCATGACCATCTGCTTGTCCCTCATGACCATCTACTCATTGGTCAGTGCCGTCAGGTGACTGCGCTGACCAACGAGTGCTTGCAATTTGCGAGTTGAATTCAGAATACATGGAACAGGTACAGATAGTACACCCATACTGGCGAATGGGAAGGACTGTTCACCGTAAGGTAAGTATAGCAGGGAGGCAGAGGGGGGCCAGATTTGTGCGGGTAATTCCATTTTCCTAAATTACTTGGGAAAGCGAATATACCCCTTAAAGCTGGTGCAGATTTGGGCGATCCCGGGACGCCCGTGATCATGTGCGGTTGCATACAGCGTTTGCTGCGGGAAACTGCGCAATCTGCCTGGCGGGACTGGGGTGCCATTAGAGAATAATGGCACTACCAGCACAAATCGGCGGTGGTGTGCTATTTCGTGACTGCCCGGCTATCAGCGCGGTTTCATGCACGATTGCTGCACGGTCACACCTTAATGCACATTGTGCGTGTTAGAGAGCGTTGCTGCCTGGGCCACCACAATATGGGACCACTCTGCTCACACACACACAATGCCCTGTGCATGCGTTTATTCACATGCAGATGGTGGGGGCAGCAGGGTTGGTTTTATTTTTTCTTTATCTCCTTTTTTACTTTTTACATTTATTTTCTTTATTCACATTTTGAATTTTTTATTTTATTTTTTACATTTTTTTTCCTTTCACTTTATTGCTATCACATTGGAGCTAACAATCCCCTGTGTGATAGCATTTGAAGGTGACAAGTTCTCGTTATTGAATCTGTCACTTCCAATACAGGAGTTCTAGCACAGTACTGTGCTCGTTCTCCTGTGACAGGAAGCCTGCTAGTGCAGCTTTCCTGTGTCAGTGCGCACACGGAGCGGAGAACAGACGTTTTTCGCTCTGCTCCCCACCCTCCAACCTGATCTAATTTGCCGGGGACCCCAAAGACCACGGCGGGGTGGGAGCCAGCAGGTGGGGAGAGAGGCAGTGGAGGGCAGTGACAGATGGTGGGCTGGGGACACAGGCAGAGAGGCAGCGGCTGGTGTTCTATCAGATGTTGTTACTGTGGTGTTCAGGGAGGGGCAGTGAGAATCGGACTGCTTACCGCTCAAGATCACCTGTACAAAACTGTTCCCCCTCTACATTTAGCCCTGCTGCTTGCCCAAAGCAGGGTTAAATGTAGAAAAAAAAAACTACATGTGCCAGGCGTCGAGCGATAGGAACTCCACGCCCCTGTGCACCATTTGTACTGTTTATCATGTCAACCATAGATGCTTAGTAGACTTGTCCGCCTCTAGAAATATAGCTGGCAATCAGGGGTCAGCCTAAAGCTGCAAATACCGTTTTGTTTTTCTTCCCCATTCAAGTCTTGATTTGCAGTGTGTCTGTCTGTCTGATCGATTTTGACAGGTGTGTCACTGTCCATATCCTAACAGTGACTGCAGTTGATTGATTCTTGAGGGGCTGCACACTGGTCAAATATCACCCAGGTCAGCAGCAGTTGCCTGAAATTTGACCAGTGTATGACTAGCTTTCCTCAAAGAATTGTTATCTTTGGTTGTTCAGAATCTTACAGTTGTCGCCTCTTATCTTACAGCCTTGCTGTCTCTGTCAAAATGAACATACTACTGTTAGCTCCAGGACTACTGTATCTCCTCCTCTGCCGATTTGGACTACTGCGAACAATTCCTAAATTGTTTATCTGTGCTGTTCTTCAGGTGAGATCCCTTCCATATTCAGACAAGCCTAAGACATCTCAGAGTCAATAAAACAGCGCAAAGTGGTGAATACCCATATCATACCATTCAGAATTCACCTTGTTCTGGTCTTCCTGAATTATGCCATGTTTACCAGTATTTTGTACAAGCCTTTTGTGTTTTTCCATGTAACTGGATGAGGCCATAGGAAATCTATCCTGCTTTATCTTACTAGAAACAATCCTGTGATTTTTTTATTTTTTTAAGGAGTCCTGAGCAAATCTCAAACACTTAATGTTAGTTCACATATCAATGTTTATTGAAAATGCCTCGCTTTACAGAGACATTGTCAGTTTACCCGTTCTTTAGACCCGTCTCCCAACCTACGGATAACTAACTTTTCCATTGCTTTGCAGTCTTAATGTGACTGTCACAAGAGAATATTGGGAACTGCCACTGCTGACCTGTTAAACATACAGGTTGCTTGGCTGTGTCTGTAGCTTTGAGTCCGAAACCTAGAACAAGCATAGTGTAAATGAGTAAAAGAAAAGTGCCAAGTTCTTTAGATTTATACTTGTGGGCCACAGACTCGGCATTAGCATGACAGCCAGGGAACTAGCATTCTCAACAAGTGGTCAGTGTTCTCTTACAACAGATTTCCTTTAACCCTGTGTAAACTCTGATACACAGTTTATGATGCCAGCCCCTCCATCATGTTTAGCCTGGCAATCAACCACTCGGGTCTGAGCACTGCACAATGGGAGGAAGTTGCATGCTCCACTATACCCAAAAAGACAGGTATTTCATGGCAGTTCTAGTGGAGCAGTGTAGTGAAGGTGAGTTGGGAGTGGTCGTCAGACTGTCACTTTGCCATTCAGGGTTTTAATTTTTTTTAGGGCTAACTTGTACTTTACACATGCCGTGCCCCCCTACCCAGTGCATACCCATCTTTTATTTTAGTCCCCAGAACTCCATTCAGCCACTAAGGGTGAGGAAAGGGAGCCATGTGTAAGCACAGTGTTCCTCTAGTCAGAGCTTAAATGGAGATGAGGACTCTCCACACCCCCATGTGACAGTGCTGTACCAGGCACCAGTACTATCCTATGGGTAGAAAGGGAGTAAGTCACATGCTATGCCTGGAAGTACCAAGTATTTTCTCCACTCCTAGGAGCTGAATGGAGCAAATAAAAGGTGGGTATTTGCTGCAGATGAGAGCAAGTAAGTTGTATGCTTCACCATACCTGGAATTACTTCTTTTTTTTTTTCTCCAGTCTTCTAATCGCAGCTTAGATAATAACATGTTTTAGGCACTGACAATCAGGCATGTGTTGGAGTGAGACTTCAAAGAACATTTTTTGTAACATTCCTACTTATGTGATACCACAGGTGATCCTGGCCCTCCCGTTTCTGCTAGAAAATCCTACTGGGTATCTTATACAATCCTTCGATTTTGGCAGACAATTTTTGTACCAATGGACGGTGAACTGGCGGTTTCTCCCAGAGCATGTGTTCCAGCACAGGGCTTTCCACCTGGCTCTACTCACAGCACATCTGGCTGGCCTTGTACTGTTCTGCTTTTACCGCTGGCACAGGTAGAGTGAAAAGTGGTCTTGTGGGCTTGATTTTTGTGTGTGTTTTTTAAAATAATTTTACTGTTTTTATTACCTGCAGGTCTGGGCAGAGATTTCTTACACTTCTGAAGGATCCAGCACAAAGGAAACCTCGCTCACACCAACTTTCAGCAAACAGTATCCTTACAGAAAGTTCAAGTGTATCTAAACCCAAGAACAGAATAAAACAAATGTTGCAGCTTACCAGTTCTTAAATGTAATGGGTGCATATTTTTTTGAAGCTTTTTTTCCTACGTCGTAATCTACCAGTAACACTTCCTGTCCTTGGTTGACAAAGCCCGCTCATTGGACTGTATGATTGAGCAGCATTGTCTCCCTCTAGGACAGGATGTGAGTTAGCACTGCAGAAGATCTTATCTGCCTAATATAGGGAAAAGTGCTCTGTAGTACAGAGGTGAATCGGGCAGGGCTGCTCCCGCTGTTTGCAATTTTAGCGCAGTACTGTGAGCTCTCTACAGAAAGCTAGGAGCACATTCAATTTGCGGTGTGATCACCAGTTATTTTCCTGTATTTGCAGCATTTAAGAATAAAACACAGTGAAGTGTAAATGTACTGCAAAGATGGTCTGCACATTCTTTTTTATTATTCCTTTTGCCCATACATATACTTTGAGGTTCTTGCTTGTGCTTTAGTTCAGAATTGAAATTCTATGCGCAACATTCTTTAGTAACGTAAAATCAGCAATGCATTTTCTGTGCAAATATGTTAGTATTAACTCTTTTGCTGATGTACGCCATAAAGCAGCTTCACGCTGGAAGTGATTTGGGCAGCTTCACAGTGTGCTGCAAAGTGTACCTCTGTGAGTAATAGTTCTATTGATGCTATGGGTGCTGAACTAAGGTGTCTCTTTGTTTACACATGATTCACACTTTTCAAATGGGATTTAGTTGGGGAAAATGTGAATTTTGGGTAAAAGTGTTGAATCGTGCATAAAAACGATTTAATAGATTTAATTTTATTTGTAAGTAGAAGAGGTGTGAAAGTATACAGAATCCGTGCTCAAAGTAATATATAATTTAGAAATATTTAATTTGCACATAAAAAAACATTTAAAATGGTTACCCAAATTAGATTTAATCTTTTATACTTGAGGCCTAATAATACAAGTGGATAATTCATGAAGTGTTTGTAACAAATTATAATTCCATCCGCTTACATGACCACAGTAGAAAAATGAGCTTCTGAAGCCTCATTTTCCTTAACTCTCCAAGAGATTATCTTTGTCTTATTTTCCAGTAACTTTCTGGGTGTCACTTTCAGCCGTTCTCTGCATTACCAGTTTTATGTCTGGTACTTCCACACTCTGCCATATCTTTTGTGGTGCACAAACACCAGCGGCTTACCAGGACTTGCTAAGTAAGTGTGTTTTTGATTCTTGAAATGTTTTCTTCTCTCAACAGATATTTACAATTTTCCTAATGCATTTCTAGGATCCTTATCCTTGGCCTTATTGAGCTTTCCTGGAATACATTTCCATCTACCTCTATGAGCTCAGGCGCTCTTCATCTTTGTCATGGAGCCATTTTGCTGCACTTGTGGTTCGGCGTTCCACCAGATGAAACAAGTCCGTTGGAATCCACACCTCCCACAAGGACTCTTCGAAAGAAGAAGGACTGATTTTCTTTTTTGCATCCCTGAGAAATGATGCATTTCTAAAAATCATGTTTGCTAAAACGTTAGGGTACAAAGAACACTTCTAAGGAGTGATTGTCTCAGGGTGCAAGGAAAAGAAGAAGTATAGACTTTATATTTTTTTTTTTTTAAGCTAATAAACAAGGGAACTGCTTCTTTTCACTTAATAAACAACTGTCTCACAATGGCTTTCATTTAGGGGAAGAAGCCCCACACCTGCAACATGTCCCACCAGCAGTCTGATGGGCCAATAGCCAGTGATGGGTAAATGCATTTATTCGGCTATCAAAATTGGCTCAAACATCACCTGGCTTGTAGCAAAGCATATTTAAATTTAGGTTTTCATCCCAGTGACGAAGAAGGAGGAAAAGTTGACGAGCAGCCCCTTTTAAAGCTGGCAACTGCAGCCCATCAGGAAATGTCTGTGACCGTAGCCATCCCTCTGCTTTGGCTGCAAGCAGTTCCCATTCTGTAAAGAAACCTGCACAGCGATGCTCAAGCCATGCAAGAGCCACAGCTGTAGCCCAGGAACAGCCTTCAAGATCTGTGTCCAGTTCTGCTCCCGTCTCTGAAGGACATGGAGAGGTATCACACGGGTCAGTCTCAGATCCCCGTCCACTGTCTGCTTGATGACAAAGTGCCTCAGGGCATGATGTGGCATAGACTGGTAGAAAAGGGTTTTCATGCGTCACTGGGACTTCAGGTTGAGACCCGCCTTTACAGTTTGGGGCTCCCACTTTGAGATAGTCCCCAGTTTCTGAAGGGCAAGGCTCAGGCACAGGAATTAGGCTCCCACGATGACAGGAGAATGGCGAAGTACGAAGCAGGCGCTGAAGCGAGATCTGCACTACACTGGAAAAAGAGCTGTTCAAGCTGAAAAAACCCTCTGCGAACTGTATGCTTATCTATGAGGGGAAAAAAAAAGTCTATATAAATGGGAAGTAATATTATTCATTGTAATTTTTCAAAACATCACTTTAAAGCTCACCAGTGGTAAATAGTCTTGTACGACACAATCAGTGTTTGGTTCTTTATCTCCTGTTAAGCATGGTTTCAGTGGAGACAGCTTCCCCGACATGCTACGTATTTTCTTCCCCACACTTATTCTGCACAGTTGTAGAATAAATTTAAATCAATCACCAATAAGGCATCAATGCAATAACTTTGTAGAATAAGAACACTTGTTACCTAGAGGTCAAGGATGCATCTGAAGACTTCTGTGAGCCAAAAGCGCTGGTAGTTTGGAGAGCTATGGTAAATAAAAATAGAATTTACGGTAAGTACACATCTTATTCTTAAAGTCTATTGAGGGACACAGGTATTCAGAAAGTCAGGCTATCCTGCCACCTTCAGGAGGTCAACAGAAAAGTTGTAAGCCAGCCCCTGTACAACTTCTCCACCAACATGCCTGTTTTGTGAGAAAGCAATACATAAGTCCAACAAAGAAGTGGGGTGGGACTCAATGGACCCAAAAAAATTAAATTTTATAGCAAGTACAACAATATTTTTTTGTCCATTGAATGACAGAAATTCAGAAACAGTAGGGTTGTCCAAAACCAGTCCAACTGACAGGGTGAGTAATAACATTCTAAAACAGGACAACCAGGAAAAAAATAAAGCCTCATTTTAAACCAGATCTGAAGTCCCTGCAGGACGGCAATCTGCTACTGTTCAAGGAAGGCCAAAGAAGATCAACTTGATTCTCAGACCAGGGCAGGAGAAAAATCGCCAGCAAGGGGAATGGCTCCACCCAAAAGAAACACTGAGCCCACACCAAGAGCAGCTGTAAACCAAAACCACTCAACAGGTGGAACAGCCTACCACCTAACTAGAAAGAAGAGGCCAACAACAGATTGTTGTCAACTAAACCCTGGGAATTTTGCCCAGGACCAAAAACAGGTCCACAGAAAAAGGACAAAAGCTTTACACTTCTGATCTTTTGTACGTGAAAGGCAGATATTAGGAACAAAGTGAGGTCAACTGGGCAGACGTCCATTCCAATTAAGGGTACCACACTGGAGTCAGCTAGATGGGGGGGTTGGAGTGCAAAAAGGATAGCCCCAACAAAAGGTAGACGGGAATGATGACAAACTACCACCCAAGAATGGTGCATGTAGTTAAGATGGTAAGCGGGACCCATCCACTAAAACACCCCATGGTGTCTCTGGTATTTGACAAGGAACCCTGAAGGACCTGCCTTCTTGATTCAGAACTGAGAACCATCAGACCTGGCATGATCCAGTGAATCATCCATAGATATGGAGCAGGAGCCTCAACTTCTGGCCATACCCTACCCCCACACGGAATTTCCTACAGTAGGTATTCAGAGTTATCTGCTGACAAACTAGGTGAACAAAAGGCACCCCATCAATGGTTTCTTCCTGCTGTGCACGAGATGAGGCGCAAATCTTTCTGTGAAATGGAGGCTACAAACTGAAGAGGACCTAAAAGTAATGCAGTGTCTTTAAGAGAGACCATGCTGTGGAGAGTAGCACTCTCCACCACATCCAGCATAGGAACCAGGTTGCTCACCCTGTTAAACCTTTCCAGATGTGAAGGTTTCACAGCACTGCAGTTATCGCCAACAGAGCCCAGGTCATGTGACTTACAGAAAAGACAGAGACTAACTGCTCTGGGGAGCTGGACTCACACCCCAGCTATGGGGGAAACCCCTGCAAATTGAGTCCTTAGGATTAATGGGGTGGTCCTTAAGTGACTGAGGGTTCACACCAGGGACCTCTTGGTCCATAGGGACCCTCAAAATCTTGCTTGAACCAAGACTCCCGAGTTCCGAGGGGGGCAAAAGAAGCACACAAGTCAATGAAGGAAGGAGAAGAGGTGATGTTAGGAGGATAATCCATTAACACCTTACAAGCCCCTAAAAGGGAAGAGGGAATTTCCGCTGACAGACAAGGATTCACCGACCCTGTTGAGCTAAACAGCCTCACCTTTTGGTAACCAAAAGTAAACTCTTATGAGGACCCATCCGGTCACCGCTTGCAGGAGTTGGGCCCATCAAAAGAATTCTAGCTGCAAAACTCCAGAAAGTGTACACTCTTCAAGGAAGATTGTCCAAGGGTTCCACAATAGGAATGTCACTAGGGAGGATGCTTCAGCCATTGGTTACAAACAGCTAAAAGTTCCCTGTAGACATGGTGGAGACCACAGCTCCACCCAACAGAGCTGTAACACTCAGCTGATCATGACCCTAAAAACAAGGGGTTCCAAGTTAAACAAAATTACAGGTGTTGAACCACTTGGGGATTATGGACTGGGGCCACCCGTTGCAGCAGGACTTTGAGTGTGTTTTTGGGAAGACATATTGCACCCTGTGGCAGTCAGCAACTAGGCCCAATGTGAGCCAATGCTCAAGTATTCACAAACCCGTTCGATTCAAGCACCCAGGAGTGAATGAGGCACTGTAGGTGGACAGTGGACCTAAAACAAATCAACATGGTGCTTTAAGAGAAGGAACAGCAGTGCAATCGTGCTTCCGCCAGGCTGAATGTGAGAGCATGAGAAGCACTCCACTTAGTGGATGATGTAAGCCCTTGATCCCTCAGCCTTAACCCAATCCGCAGTGAGAGCCGGTGGTGGCAGTATTCAGTGAGTTTTTAAAGAGAGTGTCACACTTGGGGCAACAGTACACAAAAGTCTGGAACGCGCCACAATGCAGCACCTAGTGCCCAAAGGTCACATTCTAGGCTAGCCCTACATGCTCCAGTCTTTAAGGTGGCAGTATAGCACACCTGTTTTTGAATTCCTGTGTCCCTCAATGTCCCCTTATGTTTGTGAGCACAAGTTAGGTTGAAAATGACTCATTAATGAAGCAGTACAAACCTGGGCATATCATATATAAGAAATATGTAGTATAAACTCAACACCTTTTTGGAAATGAAACCCTTAACAGAATTGGAAACAGTAATTTCACAACCAATATATTGAAAATTAATGAAAGCATCTGCCCTTTTTCACCTACAGGTGTTGTAGTATTTAAAGCTGAACTCCAGGCAGATATAAAAAACAAAAGTTAATGCAGCTTTGTAATCAATAATACATCAGTAATAATATCAGCCTCTTGCAGTCCATGTACACCAGGGTTGGAGTGTGACAGGAAGAAGCAGTAAAAAAAGCCAACCAGTTTATGTGCTTAGAAGAAGCATGTTGATAGGAAGAGAAAGCAGCGTGACAAAGAGGTGAGTAAATCACTGTGCTCAAGTGTAAGCCGGGGTGCTTACACTTGATCACGTTGATAGATATTGCTGCAGCTGGTTAATTTCTGTAAATATATCCTAGCGCAACTACCCTGGTTACAATCTAAATCACTGTGCTGCTTCTCCTTCCACTATCTAGTCACAGGCTGGGGCGAGTCCAGAACAACCTGGGCTCAGAGAAGTCAGTTGAATGATGCTGGATGCCGGAATGAGGACATCTAGCAGAAAAAAAAGTACTGTGGGGAACAGCTCTGGACTAAAGCAAAATATTGGAGCAAATATTGTTACATTATCTTTAAACAAGCTGTTTATTTTCATCTTGTTATTTATAGCCGAAGTTATGCTTGACACATGACACAGGCCTAAATTGAGGTATATCAGGGCTGTATTAAAAGGAGAACTATGGGGTTAGGGCTTTTCCCCATAGTTCTCCTTAGGGTAACGGGAGGACACAAACTAGCTGAGACGCTGAAGCCGGTCCCGACAATTATGTCTGGATCCGCCCAGCTGCGTGAGTGACAGCTGGCTCTGCCTATCTGGAGGATCGGAGCGGGCAGGAGGGAATCCAGCCCCTCCCCTGCCACGGCAGAGGGCCGTGACAGGATCGAGAAGTGAGCGAACGCCGGTATGTGTTCGCTCACTTCCCGATCTACTGAGCCGACCTGTGACAGTCTCATTGTCACAGGTCGGCTAGAACTATGAGGTGAGTGAAAATCACTCCTCATAGTTCTCCTTTAAGATATAACACTGTACTAGATACAGCTTTATGAGGACAGCATGCGGTTTCCTTTATACACGACTATTTTTTACCAAACAAAAAGGAGAGATGGTTTCCTGAAAAGAGCATCCAGATTTCTCTCAACATCCCCTTTCCCTCTACAATTCTTGGGCTAAATTTAGCCACACATATCCAAAAGAAGGAAACAAGGAAAAATCACAATTTGTACATTTTAAGGCTGGGTGATTCCCTGGACACTGGCCATTGAGTGACATTATACCCAGGTGAACATACCTTCTTGGATTCCCAGCTTTTCCAAGCCATTCTCAGAGGGCAGCCTTAGTGGAGATGATGGAGATACTGGAGGTCTGCCTATGACACAGGGGTGAACACTTAAAACTCAGTTCCCACATTATAATAATATATACAGTATATATCTTGACCTTGAATATGAAACACTTGGCCACACTCTGCACAAAAAGGCAAGACATTTGTGATCAGGTATAGGTGAACTGCAGTGCATAAACAAGTTTCAGCAGCATTTGTTGCAGCCAAATACCCACTCCCCCAATTCCACAGCCAGAACCACTCTAGGCAGACCTTGAGGCAGAGCCATGGTCTTCATTCTGGCTTTAGCATAGAGATCTGACAAAGTTTGACATTTTCATTATTGCTTACAATCTAATTCATCCATCTGAACTGCATATAGACGGGTGTATCTGTACAGTGTTTTCAGTTAGTGACACACCGGTGAATCCCTTGTGGCAGAAGTTAAGCTTTATAGTGTTTTGTTGGCAGCACTAAAAGGAGTCAAGCAACATAGTTCCACTAGATCGCCACCTGACTCTTTCTCCTGAGAGAATGCAGTCCCAGGAGGTACACTTGCTTCTACCAGTGGTTTCCAGCCTTGGGCCATATAGGACCCCTAAGGCCGGAAATACTTTTCTTTCGCACCTACTTTTTTCCAGTTTCTAAATAAAGATTAGAAGTGCCCCAATAGGATGTTGGCTACCCTTAAACGCTTTCTGGCTTTGTATCGGTTTGGTTCAGAAGTGGTCTGTTCCCACTTTGAATACAGTCATGACTTGCTATAACAAGATGATGTCTAGATAAGTGTAGCTTGCAGCTACCTTTAAGGACCCAACCAGTAAGTGGTTGTGAACTACTTCCAGAACCCTGTTCTCAGTGACAGGTCCTGCCCTGCATCAGATGCTGCCTGCGATTTTACCTTGTCAAACCATGTCTGGATGGTCAAAATTCCTCGAAAAAATGAATGATAAAATGCAGACCTACATGAGCTATGCTAGTATGCCACTCTCATTTAATTGCTTCTACTGTAGTAGGAAGACTACAGTGTACAAGCTTTCTAGCAAATGTCTTTCACTAAAGTGAAAAAGGGAATGTATGGTCAACATGTGGTTTACCTCCGTTTTCAAATAGGTCATCCATATTTTCAGAGCCCCTGTTGTCTGCATTGCTCCATCTTGTGGAGTTTGACCTACAGCTTCTTCTACTTTGCTCCCCTAGATATATAAAGGTAAACTAACCTCAGAAAATGTAAATGACTTCACAAACTGCACATATATTTAAAATTACTGCATACCTCTATATACAATTTTATGTCCTGGGAGAGCCTCCTGAGTGGTGGGGTCTACAGGGACATGGCAGGTAAAGGATGAGACCTGTGAACATGATTTACTGGACTGCATGGCTTTTAGGCGAAATCGACGAGAGGACCCTATAAAAAGTCAGGAGTTTTAGCACCTGAGCTATAGTGCAGATTATATTATGCCACCAATTACATCACATGAAGCATTACTCACCGTGTTCAATGTCACACTCACTCCTGGCCATGTCCTCATTGTCCTGAATCACAGAGTGTGCAGCTAACTGATGCAGGTCACAGCACCTTTCAATCTCTGTATGATTTCCGCCTTCCTCTTCAGCAGTGCAAAGAAGAGGATCTAGGTTTACAGCTGTTTCCCAAGAATGACTTCTCCCAGCAATATAGCCATGGATCACAGCTCGACACTGCCAGCCAGAATCACTGCTCCCTGCAGATGCCACATTTTTCCCTTCAGCTGCAGGAGATGCAGAGAAAAGGTACTGTGCATCAACCAGCATGTCCCAGTCCAACTGTGCAGGAGATTGAAGCTGACCTGTTAAATGGATAACAGAACCCTTCAGATTCACCTTTAGTATTTTTGTTTAAATGCACATCTATTTTCAGGCATAATAGTGGTAACAAGAAAATCTGTGCTCCAATGTGAGAAGAGTGCACAGACCACAGCGAACAAAAAACATACACCAATACATTATATATGTGTGTATATTTATATTACACAGTATATACATATAGAGATACACACACACATCTCAATCAGTTAGATGCACAACACTCCAACCTTTTTCTTATCGTTGTTCTCAATACAGGAATCTGTCCACAATTCCTTACATGGATTAACAAAGAAGTCAGGGTATTGCAGCATTCAATCTTCTCTTTTAGTTATTATTCCAAAATTGTCATGACATGATGCAAAGACTTTATACCCCGACTTCTTTTTTTACTAATGTAAATTTATATATA